TCTGGAAGTGTTCATGGTAGAGTTCTGGAACTTGGTATGGAGATATATGAAATCAATCGCATACTCATGAAGAAAAATGGGAGGTATTGGAAAAGGGGGCGTGGCACCTCCCATACAAACCGAATGTACAGTGCTGGAATTTCGTATGGAGATATGTATGTACATGAAATCAAGCCCATACTCATGGAGAAAATTGGGGCTATTTTAAAAGGGGGGCCTGAGGTCTACAAACGTACCGACTTTTAGCTATCTTTGAATGTATTTATAATTCTTCTGTAGGTGTGTTTGTGAGTGAAATCCTCCTATATGGTTGTACGGATTTTAACGAAATTTTTATTTCGCGTGTTTGAGTGGGTCTCTTTGGTGGTTTAGTTTCCCAATTTAATCCGCCAGTTGGCGCTGTCGTTGAAATCTTATTTATGATACGATTTGGCTGATATTTTAAATATGTATTGGTAATGGTAAGAGCAATACTATTGCAAAAAGTGCTGCCAAGTGGCTCTGGAATCGAGTTATTACTAAAAATAGCCAAGTGAGAAAAGGTGCCGTGAAGATCAGATTAAATCGACCTGTTGCACCATTGAGTATATCGAACTCTCCTGTGTTACGATTGGTCCAATGGATGTGATTTTCCAATATTAATATGTGTTCAAGCTTTTAAGGTATTTCGTCTGAAATAAGTATATGTATTAGAGAGGTTCTAAATTTTTTTTTTGGAAATTCATAATCCCTACCTCAAATTATTGTTATTTTTGATAAAATTTGAATTTTGAAAAGCTGCCTTCAGAATCCTAATTAGCAACCCCAGAAACCCCCTGATAACAAGTTCCAACCCATGACAATGCGTAAATCGTTCAGTATCAACGTTTTAATTTTACTAGTGTCTTTTCGAGAGCGTATTTTCGGGAACTAGGTCCATTGTAACTGTCCAAGACAGGTGTGTAGTTAAGGGAATGTTCCCCAATAATACCAGAGTAATTATATGTAAAACCCACATTTTTAGCTGCATTTTAACATGTCAAGAAAATAAAAAAAATTAGAAAATTAGTGTTTTTATAAAAAAACGAACAGCGCGACCTCTAAAAAAACTTTTTTTTTTCAAAATAAAAAAAAACTTTTTTCAAAATAAAAAAATACTTTTTTTAATCAAAATAATAATATTCTGATGTAGCTTTTATGAATTTCCAAAAATAGTGTCTTTATGAACCACTCTAATATGTATATTGCATTTCTGTAGAACAATGATCCGCACCCATTTTGAAATTGCCACCAACTATACTGTAAAACTTCTAGGACAGATACACTATAGAACCGGGTCATTGTTGCCGCCAGGGAGTGAAGAGGAAAAAATTCTTCAAATTAATTTCGTTTTGCGAATAACCGTGCTATGAAACGCTGCACAGTTGGAAAATTTCAAGAACTTCTTCACGGATGTAAAATTTTCCTTAGGTTATTTAAAACGGCAAATGACCACCAAATCCTAATCTTAGCAGATGAATGTGCCAATAAAAATTGTAAACGTGAATTGTTGGTGAAAATGTTGGTCCAAAAAGTTTCAATAAAAAAATAAACATTTTGGGCAGAACGAAGTTAGCCGGTTTTGCTAGTATCTTATAAAAAAGAAATTATTATTATTTTTTTTAGCTCCCTGCAGTTTAATACTTCTACAATCGTAAAATTATTGCTACAACCTTTAGATACGAATATATATTATATTTCCCCATATGGTATGGAAGATTCTTATTGTTTTTTCCTATGTACGTTCGTTTGCGGTATATAATCGTAAATGCGCTTAATTTTTACTTCTTCACATTTTTTCGGTTACCCAGGTAGCTCATTACCCGGGTGAAATCATCAGCCCTATTAAAAACACTTTTATAAACCGTGTCATTTTAGGCCCTATTTTACATCGAATGGCACTTGATTTTTCAATTTGGCACAAAGTGCCAAAATGGCACTATTGAAAAATAGTAATATTTCAATACATTTTTGTGAAACCATTTTTCTCAGCTAAAATTTTCTAATTTCTAAAGGTTATTCAACTGGTTTATGTTATTTTGGCATTTGATTTAGAAATGTGGTTCTTATTTTATTGCTAAATGGGAATGATTTAAAAGGATGGCACCTTTTTCGGCACTTCTATTTTTCTATTTGCCACATTTTGGCACTTTTTTATCCTCAACATGACACCTCATAGCTAAGGATAGTTGGCAGCCCTGTTTATAAATTGTTTTTCTTCTATGAAATGTAATTATTGTAGCGGCCACAGTTACCTAACAAAAGTTGGTGTTATCTAAAAGATTGTTTCACGCATTGAGTTGGTTAAATCTAACAAACATATTCAAATGCAGTTTTCCAGGAAGTGCTTACATAAATAAATTTGTATGCATTCTGAAAAAAAGAAGTCTAGATTTCATATTTTGGGTACTTTTGGTGACCCAGATTTTGAACAGTTAATACTACTTATTTGTAATTACTTTAAACCCGTGGGCCATTATATTTTATAACACAAATTACCATACATTCTTTCGTGGGAAAGTGCAACATTTTCTCCCAATGCCATTTTATAAAAAAATTTAAGCATTGGAAATCACCAATTTGCTTAGAATATAATTATACATACATAAATACACATGCGGATGTGAGTATATATTGTATACCGTCATATGTTTGTTGGTGAAAAATGATCATCTGTCGACGAACAATTCAATTGTATAAGCGGTTTACTGTTGTTGAAGAACTCTATGCGATGCAGTTTTTGGGTCTTTGATCTATATTCCATCATTGTAAGATTAATTACTTCTGCTTGGTCCGAGCCCTGTGGATCGCTGGGATAAAAATCATCGCCCGGTAGCAAACTAACAGAGCCGTCAGTACAGTTCTGTATAACGGGAAGCATATGTGTAATGCCTTCTTTAGATCGAATTTGCTCAAATTCCAGTAATTCATCCAATCGTTTATAATTCAGGAATCGCGATAGTTCATACAGTTGGGGCGGAGGTAAAAACAAGTCTTTACCGAAATACCTCTGAAGAAAATCCATCGGTGTCCTCCACTGCAAAACGAAAAAAATAAAATATTTTATAAAATCTTTAAAAAGCGAAAAAGGACCAACCATAAAACTGGCAGCTTCAGTACTTTCCAAGAGTATTTTGCGAATATGTTCCAGCGCCACCAAATAAAAAGCGGTTTCAAACCGTAAAAAATAGATGTATGTATTAAGCATTAGGATGAATCTTTTTTATTCTCTTCTATGTGTGGCAATGATCTCATCGACAACGTTTCTTTTAAATGCCCATTTATATACGGCAACTTTGGCTGCAGCAAGTAGATATTTGCAGGAGAAAGAGCGACGAGGAAAGGAGAGTTGTGCCCAGTGGTGCCAGATGTGGGGATGTCGCTCATTTTGGGGATTTCTGAAACTGTTTGGGGATAGATTTTTTATTTTGGGAATGTGGGGATTTGATGGGGATTTTTGTTTGGTTTAAAATTTTCATATTGAAATTAAAATAGATATATCTTACTGCCTGACCTTAAGAATTTCTCGAACAAAGATTTTCTTTGTACATACTTTTTGCGCGGTATGATTATACGGTCTTTCTCTCGCCGTCAAAGCATTATTGGGGATTTTTTAGGGATAGCAGCGGCTCGATATGTGGATCCGGTACAAAAAGATTCTGGCAGCACTGGTTGTGCCGAGTAACCCGTGCTCGGGCACAGCGTTTGCTACGATCGTAGTAAATTTGCAATGGTTTTTCAAAAATTTTGAAATTTGCTACCCCACTACGCCTTATTCTATTTTTACTACGCTTTTTATATGTCATTCAACTTATGGGCAGCAACTATCTATAAATCACTATTACTTCAAAAATGTGGTAAACAGGCCATGGCTTCAAGATCTAAATGTATACTCTTACTGCAAATTGTGCAAGAAGCGTCCGACCAAAAACATCTGCAACATAAATGGCACCACCGTTAAAATTGTCTCATAGAAGAAAGAAAGATTCAATGTGCGACAGGGATACGAAGTTGCACAAAGAGGTAACCATGACTGTGTATCGAACTACTTCCACAATGGATTCGTTTCCACAGAAAAAAAACAGTTCTACCAACATGCGATAAGATATACCGGTTTAGACTAGGATGTACCGGTTTAGACTAGGATAAACTGGTCTTTCCGAAGCTGGTTTGGACAAACCGGTTAAGTCTAGGCTGAACTAGATGATCCTGATATAAATGTACTTTCCAGTTTACACTAGAGCGGCCAATGTTGATTGTGGGTACATAGATGAGCTGTGTTAAATATGCCTTACCTCGGGTGAGGCCAATAATTGATTAAGGATCGTAGGGAAAATCCATTGCTTTGCATGCATTTGACAAGTAGTAGATCGTACATATATATTGTCTGTCCTTTTTATGGGTAGGAAATCTAATGATGCACTTCAACGTATGTTTTTTTTAGACATTATCCAGTAAAACCTAGTATGTAACAGATTTACTGGCTGGCGGTTTCTTACAAAACTTGCAAGGAAATAGCAAAGTAGGGGAAACTAAGAGAGCGAAAATGACAGCTAAACTCGCAAGTTTTGCTGTATTGCTACTGGATAAATTTTTAATAGTAACTATTTGCTAGTAAGAAATACAGCTGATGGCATGATGCTGGGTGTAATTCACACTAATAAAGGAATTGTTTGTGGGGCTGTTATACTAGTTGAAATTTACAAAATAAAGTAAGTTCGCCTGGACCACACTGGAAAAGTGAAACTTACGATACATATCTACATAGCTTACGTCTCTGTTTTTATCTTTTATATCTTTGCTTTTATCCTTTTCTTCATCTACATATTCTCCTAGATGATGCGAAGTGCGACGACGTGATAGGATGTCATGTCATGCCAAATGATGTCATATCATGTGATGTTCTGTCATATGATTTCACAGCATGTGTATACAAATATCGATAACAAAACA